CTCCCCACTGTCACATACACACACAGCACCCATGCCTCCGGATCCTTTGTCTCTCCTTCTCTTTTCTTCTTCTGCATGGTCGTCGTCCTTGCACATCTAACTCCTCTGCAGCGGGCTCTTGGACACCCTGGTGACACACTCACACAGGCCAAGGCTCGGGGCACAGCAAGACCTTGGCTGGCAAGTATCTTAATGTGTTTCTGCTTTGGTTCTTCATGTGATTAATTAATGCCCTCTCTCATCCTCCCTGTCGCCCACGCCCACCGCATAAGCTTCAGTTTCCTGTCTGATTACTGGGCAAAAAGGGATTTGAGCTAATTACCATGTCATGACCAAAATGACAATAAGAAAAGAAGGAGGACCTATGATCTCTTAATGTTTAATTATATAAATAATTGTTATAACACGGGAGGGTTGGAAGATGGATGGCTGGATGGATGGATGAAGAATTCTTTTAAATAAAGGTTTCTCTTTGGATCCAAAACGATGACAGACATTCTGATTTTGAGTGAGTGGTGTCTGTGGTGGAGTTTAACTAGACAGCTTGCGGTGCGAAACCGTGACGATGCTGCCATCCCCAGCATCACACGGCACGGTTAATGTCGCGCGCTGCGACACGCGCACGTTAACACGCGCGCGGGTCCCCCGCTCTCTATATTTACTGGGAAAGTGGCGGCGCAGGTGTTGATTACACCAGCGGGATGTGGGCGTGTCTGCGCCACGAGCGGCCCTCCCACCGAGTCCCAGGCTCCGCACCTCGCGCCTCTAACCAGCGCTAATAAAATAAGTGTCGAGTCACGTGACGGCGCTGGAAAGCCCAATTTGTCTCTCTAATCTTACATGAAATAACATTTGCATTCGACCGGCTGCCTATAATAATGCCTGGCAGTTATGGAGCTGCCCGGCAGCATCAGCATTAATCAAGATTAAATAAAGCTTAGCGCTTGTCACATGAATATTTACAGTGTGTCCGGGACAATCAGCCACTGTAAATTCATAAATCATCGCTGGAGATGATGGGATTTATGGCTGTTTTATTATTCATGATCTGACTTTTATGTGCTTACATATTTATTTTCCACTCCACATGCGACAGGGTTGACAGCCAGTTGTTTATGTCTCTTACTATCGCCAACGAACTATCCCCTCCGCCCGTGCCCCCCACCTACTCTCTCTCGGCCGTCATCCAAGTTCTTCCTACCAAACCCGACAGCACCCCCTCCTACAAGAGTAATGTAGAAAAAAGTCTCTTAAAGGACATAAACATGACACGCTGAACCACGCCCGCGCTACCTTCGTGCTGACAGAAAACACTGATTTAACGAACTTCCAGCAAAGTGGGGCTTTCCTGTAAAATAGCATGTATGGTACAGCAGGAACGTCACATTACAATTAGCTTATCCCAAATTATAAAAAAAATAACCCCCCCCAGGCCCATTGAGGTTTTTTTTTTTGTATGTTTGTTTGTATGCGAGTGTATGGACATGAATGTGTATGTACATATGTGTGCACAGCTGTATATGTAGGGTATATATAGGTATGCATGTATGTACATGTGTATATATGTGTGCGTATGAATCTCTAACAATATGTATATGTGTATGTATACATATGTATGTGTATAGGTATATTTGTTTACCTCTTAACTTTGTTTTTATGTATTTCTCGATCACGTGTGCCCACACCACGACAAATTCCCTGTATGTTATGCATACTTGGTGAAATAAAGTGATTTTGATTCTGATTCTGAAAACCAAAAGTCTATCACAGAATATCTTTAAAAGCCGTACACGTTTATTTCACAGGTGAGAATACGTTTCAGACCTGGAATGATCAATTAAAAACAGCACTGATATGTAAGTATTAAGTATTAATAGATAAACGTGTTAAATCAGAATCTGAAAAGTGATGGACAGTCAGGTAGACAAATGATTGCATTTACGCAGTGATGGTTTACCTTCATTTTCAATGGATTGATTGTGAGATGTAGAACATGCAATGGAAAGCGAATGGCTGAGAAGCAATCTGACAGTAAGTGCCGAATGTGTCATACAGTTGTGAAACAACAGACGAGACCTTGATGTTATTTTAGCGCTGCACCTACTTTGTCCTCTAGAGGGCACCATCCATCATCTTTCAAAGCTTCCGTTTAACCTGAGTGTGATGTGTGCGAGATGTACTGCAGTCAGAAGAAAGGACTAACGTTTTGGCAGATATTACAGTAATTTCCCCACTGGATCGTCGCTTTCTCTTCTTGTTAAACCACACTTCTCCTCATTGAAGTTTAATAAAGAAAATATTCCCCAGTTATGGGGGTCTTGAGTCCAAATAATGAAACATATCGATTTGAGTATTATATTTCCGTCAATACTCTCCTGGGCTTGCAGGGAGAGGAGTGTGGCTCCACGAGTGCCAGTAAGCAGGGTGACAGCGCCGTCTAGAGGCTAAAGGCTGTTACTTCATCTATGCAGAATAATGCGGCAACAAAAAGAATAAAAAAGAACGGCCACGTTACAAACCTTTACCACGCGACCCTGTACTGAATAAGCGGTTCCAAGATGGATGGATGATTGAATACATTTAATATCCTTCACCCATAAACAACAGACAGACTGGACTGTCTTTGCCATAATTGTCTATATATTCCCATGCCGTTTCATTGTATTATTGTGTACACTGGAGCCCTGTTATCTAATTCTAGGGATTGTATTTGTTTCTTCCCTGATAATTCTTTTCACTTGTATTTTCCCATCTAGAACCATGTTGTTTAATTCCACAATTTTCTTGTGTTTATTTCTTCTTTTATAATTACTTTCACAAGTATTACCTACCTATAGTTCATTCCAATATGCCTATCTGTTTGTGTGTGCTTATATTTAATGTATGTGTGTGTGTGTGTGTGTTTGTGTATGTGTGTGTGTGTGCGTATGTATGTGTGTGTGTGCGTGTGTTTCTGTGTGTGTGTATGTATGTGTGTGTGTGCGTGTGTGTGTTTGCGTGTGTGCATATGTGTGTGTGTGTGTGTGTGTGTGTGTTTGTGTGTACATCTGCTCTGAGAGGCAGCTCTTCCGTGGCCTTCAGCGTGGGTGAGACGTTGCTGTTCTGAATGGGCTGTACAGTCATCTCCTGCCTGCTTTTGTTCACCTCACTCTCAAGGTCTCACAGCCTGCCAGCACCTCCTCCATTGTCCCTTATCCTTTCTCTCACCTGTGTGTTCATCTAGCACACGCACATACACATACGCACACACACACACACACACACACAAATGTTGGGTAAACATATCTTTATGGGGACTGCTCATTCATTTCTATGGGAAAAATACGAACACTAACTATGACAACCTTAACCCGTACCCAGCCCTAACCATAGCCATAAATAACCAATCAAAGTACAAAAGTTTTTGCATTTTTAGTTTTTTCATTGCAGTCACAGATTTTTATAAAATTTAGTTTTTTTGTGTCCCTATAAGGTAAGATATACCCACTTGCACACACACAAACACACACACACACAGACACACACACACACACACACAGAGACACACACACACAGACACACACACACAGGCACACACACACAGTGCTCCCACCCGGTCCTCCTGCTTCTCCACCTTCCTCATCTCCACATCACCCTGTTTTGTTCTCATTCTCCTTCTCCTTCACACCTTCTGCAAAGTCTGCTCAGCATGAGAAGTGGCGAATGTGGGGCCTTGGTCCAGCACAGTAACTAATTACACAGATATAATAAAATTCAGTCTCATATACAACCTCAGTCACATTCTGTCTGGAGCATCCCCTGCCTCATGCACTGTGCTGCCTGGAGCATCCCCTGCCTCATGCACTGTGCTGTCTGGAGCATCCCCTGCCTCATGCACTGTGCTGCCTGGAGCATCCCCTGCCTCGTGCACTGTGCTGCCTGGAGCATCCCCTGCCTCGTGCACTGTGCTGCCTGGAGCATCCCCTGCCTCGTGCACTGTGCTGCCAGGCTAACCGTGACACTGTGCTCGACAAACAGTCATGGATAATAGCTTGATAAGTAGATACAAAGCTAAAGGAAAATGTATCATTGTGTCTGGGTTAGGCTCCAGCCCTATTTCTGCATGGTTGGTGGATGGATGGATGGACAGATGATAGATAGATAGATAGATAGATAGATAGATAGATAGATAGATAGATAGATAGATAGATAGATAGATAGATAGACAAGAATGCGAACTATTAAATTGTAGATTTACAAATGAGAATTATTGAAATCAGAAATTGTAACAGCACAATCATGATTTATACCACTTGATTTCGGTGACATCAGCGCACGAGTTGTCCGAATGTACACTCACATAGCATCACATATATTATTTGTTGTCGTCTAGAGGCGCTCTTGCACAATGTACCGGGAACAGAATGTTATTTCCGTTTAAATGACGTTTTCTCGTATTACCGCTAGGGGAGAGTAAGCATCTGTGTCACGTGTGTATCGCATTAAAAACAGGTAAAATAGTAGTTTTACCTGCAAAAAAAATGGTGGAATGTGGTGCATTTTTTATTTTATTCATATACAAAAATAAATACGAAACAAATTAGTTATATTACTTATTTTGATTGTGCATAGCTGAATGGCCACACAGGCAGTTTATCGTCAGTTGTGATACTGTGGTTAATCTGTTATATTTCATGCACCGACTCATTTCTCAACCGCTTATTCTGGTGAGGTCGCCAGGGGGGCGTGATGTCTAATCCGTCATTCTCATTATCCCAAACCCAAAACCTAACTTCTTCCTAAATCTTCTTGCTGCTTATATATTCATGATATTAAAACAAATATTTTAATCTTAATAACAGTAAATTTCAAATACAGAGCATTAAAAATTAATGTATTTATTTGACAAACTACCTACCACCCATAACAAAAGGTTTTGAAAGCTTTTCATCGTACATGAGAAGTATAATAAAATCTGCTGAATTTCAAATTGTTATCACTAACCACACGAGCAGTGAACGCGCACCGCTGTCGCGTCTTGATGACGTCGCGGGACTTTCCTCTAGCTCCGCGGTTGTCACGGATGTGGATGTTGTCGCGAAACAGGCTTACTGCAATAAAACAAGCGCAGACGGGGGAAGAAAGCGGCGCGTTAATCATGAAGGGGGTAAACGATTCGTATGTCACTGCGTATTTTAAAAGATAAACGGCCAGCTTTCCGGTAACTGACAGACCGAGAGAGCCCGAGCAGAATGTCAACAACACGGCCCCTTCTTGGTATGATTACCGAAGTAACCTGCTCCGAATCTCCCGGAGGCAGGCTGTCCTCCGCCGGCCACCAACCGCGGGACCCACTGACGGAGGACGAGTTTGCGGTTCCCGAAGACAAGCAGGAAGAGTTGAAATGTGTCAGGTCTAGGGTGGAGCAGGTTTTTAGGGTGACTTTTACCATCATCGGCCTCTTGGACCCCACTTTAGCCCACGGGAGCAAAGCATCCCGGCAGATATGGCTGCAGCTCAAAGGAAAGCAGGATGACGTCTCCCGGGCCAAGGTAAGCGGCCCGCCGGCTCCTGTAAAGCTCAGCTCTGCGTGTCCGTTTGGGTCGGTGTGTTACAGGACCGCGTCTCTGACGCAAACACGGGCAGCCTTCCTCTCTTTCTCTTATGTACTGCGACACAGCGACCCGGGATGAAGTGGTCGCCTCGACATGGGCCACGGAGCCACCAAAGAGATCTCCCTACCACGACAAGGGTTAACCCCGGACGTCACCTAAAGCTCTCTCTATCGTATTGGGGATTAGGCTTAGGATATTCCTTCTTCCCGTGTTAAACGTAAAGTTTTACCGTGGGCGTGGCCGGTTACGGGGCCGATACGGGACGGCAGTGAACTGTAGGCGCCCGGGCCGATTCATTTGCCCGAGTATTGCGTGACTCTGGAATACCCCGGGATGCAGACAGCTCATTATCTGTGACTAATCTCTGTGAACTAAACAGTAGTTCATGAGTTGTTCCTGAAAAGGCTCTTGTGTAACCAAGAGTTGGAGTCAAGCTCCGTGTCCCGTATGTTAAGAAGTATTTGATGACAGTGCTCAGATTTTCACTTTGGTGGAGTACCCCTTTCCTCTTGAGTAAAGTTACGTATAAAAAAAACACCACTTCCTATGCTGTGTCCTGGGCACTACTCTGTTATTCCCCCTGTTTTATCTCTTCGTCTTAGTCTTTCTTTTCAGCTTCTGATGGCTGTGTCTACAGCCGGCCCTGCTGCAGACAGCTGTACTTTGTTGTGGGTTGAGGGTCACCAGATTTACATTATCATTGGTTCCTTGAGCTGTCCTCGACTATGTCAGTGCAAACCATGAATGAAGTGTTCTTGTTGTTTCCAAACCCCGACCTCATTTGAGCACTGTGAAGGACATTTAGACTTAGTATTTTATGGTAGTATTCCCTCATTTTGCTGCCTGTCAGAGTGACAGCATGGTTTCTCTGTGGGTAGCACAGGTTTGGGGCTCAAAGCCAGCCTCCACTGTGTATGTCTTTCGAGTTCCTTCTAGGTGTGCTGGTTTCTTCCCCCAAAGACTAATTGGGACCTCTAAATTTCCCATAGTGTCTGCATGCCTGTGTCTGCCTTGTGATGGAAAGTTTAGTTGGAATTATAGGCTGTCAGCAGTCCCACCATGGATATGCAGTAGTTGGAAGATGGATGGAGTTCCTGTTAGTATCATTGCCCAATGAGATTAGACGTAATCTCTGTAAAATGTTTCCCCTGTAGAAAGTCCACAGTGATTGCTTAATCTTACTGGAGGAGTTCCAAAAAAACATTTTTAAAAATTTAGGTCATTGTATTGATTGTTCCTTTTCTGCTGTGTTGTAAAGCCTGTAATGTTTGTATTCCTTCGGATTTCTGAGGGTTTCCAGGAGAGCCTTCCTGTTTGTTTAGGACTTCCTGATACGCTGTAGCCCTTCAGCCACGTGTTGTCTGGTGCCTCCCTGCCCTCCTGCGTCGTTCCCTGAACATTGAGGATTGCGGTCAAATGGGGCATTGGGGGAATTTCCAATACCTCGTGCTGTTGTGGCCCAGTGACACTGTGTACCTGATCTCCGCAAGAATGCACCCAGTATCTGTGTTGATGTGAAACAGGATGGGGGGGGTGATATTCAAATCAGACGAGAGCACTGGTTTCGTGTAAAGAGTTTGCATGCTTTGGGCGTGCAGTGTGAGTCAGCCAGTGTTTAGCTTACCTGCTAGGTGCAGTCAGCAGTTGTTCTTGTGATAAGGAGCACGTGGGGTAGGAGACACAGTCAGCTGAGCTGCTGATCTGCACCAGCAATCGGACCCGTGGCAGGAGGCTGGGTGGCTAAAAGTTGCCCCATTAAGGGAGAGAGTGAGTCAGTGTCATGGTCAGGAGATTCCTTGGGTTGGGGCCACGGTGCATTCTATTGGCCAGCTGCGGAGATCATCTTTGCAATGTTACAAAGGTGGCCTCACTCAGAAGTAGTCGGTAGTCTGAAGACAGTTTAGTCAAGTGAAATAAAAAGTTCCGCCAAAGTGCCGCAAAGTTTCCCCGGCGTCGTGTCTGTCACATGATATAAAACCAACCACTCATGTTAACGTGATGCTTTCACCAAAAAAAACAAAAAAAAACGCATGGCCAGAATGATCAAGGATTCAAAACCTTTGTCATTTGTATAAGTACTTTATTGACCGGGACAAAGAGGTTTCATAGACCTTTGACCTAGGGAGTCTGCTTAGTCCAGATCTCAGTCATACTCGATGTACACTAGAATGAGTAGAGAAGGCGAGGAGGAACCCCCACCCCAGTAACAGGAAGAAATCTGTAAGCCTTATTATAATGAATGATGGTTAATCAGAAATATGTCGGGTGAGTTTCCCGAAGCCGCCTTAGCGCTATGTCATTCGTAAGTTCTATCTTTTAACTTATGACGTAGCATTAAGAAGGCTTTGGGAAACGTACCACAGATTATTATGACTAGTGGTTAGTATATCCCCTAATCACAATTTGATCAGTCTTCGGATTATTATTATGAAATTCATGATTCCAAAGATCCCACGCGATAACACACCTATAGCACAATTGAACTGATGGCCACAGTTGATGAGGACACTGCCAGTCTCATTCATTCAGCGGTACAACCTAAAATCAAGACCATTAAAGTCAAAATACTCCTCATGAATTTGATAATGGCTGCATGTCAGAGCGGGTGCCGGATGTTGTGCTGTACGTGGTCGCGGTGCCACAGCCACAAGCGCCTTCCTCCCTAACCCTGTGCCCTCCTGCCCTTGTAGGAATACGTGAAGGGACTGTGTGACCCCGAGCTGCAGCAGGTGGAGCAGTACCCGCCCGACATGCACTGCATCTTCGTGGGGGCCCAGGGGCTCTTCCTGGACCGGCTGCTGCGCGACACCAGCGCCGAGGTGGCAGTGCTGGAGCTGGGCCGGCTGCGGCTGCTGGGCCGCCAGGAGGCCGTCGTCATGGCGCAGAGCCGCGTGCAGCAGTTCGTGTGCCTGTTCCGAGAGAAGCGCGGCGTGCCCGGCGACCGGGAGCCCGCCGTCAAGCGCGCATTCAGGGCCTTCGTGGAGGAGCGGGCAGACAAGTACACCATGGAGCTGTTGCTGCTCCCCAGTGCCCTGAAGGAGGAGCTGCTGGGTCTGGCTCAAAGCCCCACGCCCACGGCACGCACCCCAGCTCCTGGCGTGGAAGCTCGGCAACCCCTCCCCATTCTGCCGGAGCAAGACCGCTCCCAGACCAGCACGCCCGTCACCGACCTCTCGCACCGCATCCTGGACGCAACGTTTGAGGACAAGGCGGTGGGACTGACCTCGGAGGCCGTGCTAAACCCGCGCACCTCGCACAAGAGGCGCTCCTCGGAGAGTGAGTCCCGGGACTCCAAGAGGCAATACTCACTAGAGAGGAAAGACGAGGAGCTGGAGACGGACTGGTGCTGCATAATTGGTGACAGCCGCAGCAGGACTCCTGCCCCCGTGGCCAGCCCCGCGGCCGATAAGGACGTGGTGGTCCTGGACCCCAGCGAACCATCGGACGACGTGGACGGTGTGAGCCCAGAGACTAACTTCAAGTGCCTGGTGAACTTCTTCAAAACCATGGGGTACCCGCAGGAAGTGGTGGAGCGGGTGGTCCGGGAGACAGACCAAAGAGAGGACACATTCCTGCTGTTGGAGCGAATCGTAGAAGAGAGCCATCGGTCCCAATCAGGGGACCCACGTGCCAGCGGCCACCACTCCTCGTCTGCTTCCTCCTCCTCCTTCTGCAGGAGCAGGGATAAAGAGAGGTCACAGAGTAGACCTTTCTATGAATTGAAATCTAAAGAAAATATCCAACCTGCCAATAACTGCGTGGGTCTGAGGGCTCCGTTCACTGGCAGCAGTGTCCAGCAGAGGGCAACATTGAGGAGGAGCAGCAGCGCTCAGGGGGAGATCATCATCATTGACAGCGAGGGCGATGACAAGCCAAAGCCTGTTGGGCAGCAGGTCGTGGCTAAGGGTGACTATCTGTCTCGGGGCAACGGCCATCCGATGGGGACTGTGCGGGTGGAGACCCTGACCCCACTGCAGAGCGCCTCAGAGCGCCCCAGCTGCTCCTACCAACCCCCCTGCAGGGTGCTGCCCTCGCCCACGACCCGCACGGAGCTGCCCCCGAAAGCTGTGCCCCTCACCGGCGTATCCCGCTTCCAGCAGTCACTGCGCACGCCGTACAGGCTGACGCTGCAGAACGAGTCGGGTCGCCAGGGCCTGCGGCACGTGGTCATCGACGGGAGCAACGTGGCCATGGCGTGAGTGCAGCGCCCCCCAAAGGCAGCGCTGTGTAGTGTACAGGCTTGGGGCCATTCCGGAATGCATCCATCAATTCCAATCCAAATCAGGAAATGGAACTGGAGTTAGAATTTAAATCTCCTTGAAATTCGAATTCAATTCCAATTCTGTTCCTCATAGTTTTTTTTCCAATCCCAACTCCAGTTCTATTTCCGGATTCGGACTGGAATTGATGGATGCATTCCGGAATGGTCCCAACCAATCAAGAGCCAGTCTAACAATAACCATGAGCATCACCTGATCCACCAGCCTCACACAGCACCATGAGCAATTAGTTTATGGAGAAATCACAGCTCTCTCAAGCTTTCTCATGTCCTGGTGACGTGTGGTTAAATGACCCCCCAGGAAGGGTCTGCGACTTTTCCCACCTTAGTGGTAACCTGAGCGCCTGGCATATCTGGGAACTGACCTAAAAGGCATTTCTCCTCAGCTCCGGTGCACTGCCAGTTAACCGTGAGCGGGTGCGGTAATGCCGCGTATCGGAGCGGGAGCGTGTGCGCAGGTGACGGGTGGGTGGAGCTGCGGGGAGGTGACTGGGGGGGCTGGCGGGGGCTTCCTACTTAGTCAGACTCAGACCGTACTCTGATTCACGGCTTCCTGTGCTCTGATTTTAAGCAGCAACTTTAGTGTTTTTCAGTGCTTTCTGCTCTCACGGTTTTATTTCAGTCTTTCGATGATTTCCTGGAAGTGGCAGCTGTGGGGGCTGTGAGATGTGTTGTGGGGGGGGGGGGGGGGAGGTTGGTGCTGGGGGCGGATTGCGTGGTCAAAGTGGCAAGGTTTGTTCCATTTCACACAGGCGCAAAGGCACCTTCATAAGCAGTTTCATGATATTCAGTATAATCACGTGACCCTCCCCACATATGAATCAGCCCCATGACCCTGATCAGGATAACCAACTGAATCAGTGGGGATTATGTTTGGTATCTTTTACTGATGGTGATATTTTGTTTGTTTGTGATTATTTTTTTAAATGTCCTTCCTGGCTGAAATCCCTATTCTCCTGCGTCACGGCTGTCACCTGCCAGATGTGTAAAGCTTCTTTTTGTGAATTTTATTCCTGTTTTCCACATGTGACACATGCATCACCTCGGGTCTCTGTAGCTTTTCTCTGATTTGTTAGTTAAATCAGAAAGAAATATTCCACACCATTTGTTTCGTTATTTGTGGAAATTAAAGAAATATACAAAAAAATATGAGAGATCAAAGTTTTGAAGTGAAGGTGATTTTCCTAAACAAATGAGTGCTGGTGGTGGTTGGTAACATATCCTGTTTGAAATCACTTTCTCCACACGAGGGAAGTTCCCTGTGACCTTGTAAACTTCCCAATCTGACACCAGTCTAGTTTTAACTGGTATCTTTCTGTCAATCTCTCAGTACTTTCCAAATTTATCCTTACTTAAGATTCTCATAATGTTTCCAGTTTCTGTTAAGTTTAGGTGTGTTTTATTTTTCTTTTCAGTCAGAGAAACTAATCACTGGTCTCCTTTGCTTGTCTGCTAGGCCTTTCCGAAAGGCACGATTGCCGGTGTTAGTAATCACTTCTCCAGTTAGGGTCCTGCTAGGCTGAAGCTTAGTTTTTACTTCCATTATGTATTTTGATAGAATAAAATTTCATGCTGATCTCAGTTATCTTTTGTGGTTTTCAGGGTGTAGTTGCTTTGTTGAATTTTGTATTCTGCTGGGTGTATTTGATTTGGTATTTTGCAACTATTTTGTACTCTGCTGGGCCTGGTCGCTATGAGGACATGAGGCTGTGCTCAGCAGCTGTCTGCACATACCCTCAGCTTGGGGCCACGTTCCTCTGCTTCTCTCAGTTGCAGTCAGACAAGGCGGATGAGGGCGCAGCCAGGCAGCATCTTCGCCCCCCCCCCCTCGGGATCCGAAGCGCCTGTCCATCCCTGCCTGGAGTGGTGAACTCTCTTACCCTGCCAGTCAGAGCATAATCTGGGGGCGAAGTAAAAGACAGTTTTATGTTTAGTTTGTTAATTTAGTCACCGGCAAAAGCTTAGTCATGTTGTCATTCTCGTGGGCGTCTGTGAGTGCTTTTTAGTTCAAAGTGCAATGGGGACAAAGGGCCAGATTTCACCTGCAGTGAATCAGTGAAGAACAATGTTTTCCAGGACCTTTGCAAAGGTCATCTGTTTCGAGCAGGGCCGTGACTCAATCAGAGACCATCTAGAGATTAATCTGATCGAGATCAAGAAGTGGTGGGTCCAGCGTAGACGTCCCCAACAGCCTGGCTTTCATCACTGCTTACCAGCACGGTGCTTCATCGCACTCAGATTAGCATGTGTGGGTAAAGTACTGATCAGATCCTACAGGAGCATTCATCCATCATATATGGTATGATGGGACTGTTCTAATGTATCAGGCCAGCAGTGCTGTCTCCGTTGTAATGACAGTTAAAGAATTCGGAGTTGATTTGAACTTATTCGTAACTTTATTTGCCAGTGGCAGAGGTAGAAGTACAAGTCCACTGAATTTCTTGCACAGTTCCCTCAGCTTAAAAACAAAAGACATGGAAAATGAAACAGATAAAGAAATGAACAAGGTGTTTGCATGATGGATAAATACGGTGCCTTGAGGGTAAGAGGCAGCTGGGGGTGCTGTGATTTAATATTAGAGTCTATGACATTGGGGTAGGAGTGGGGGGTATTTAGGTTTCCGTGGGTTGGTCAGGTCTGTCCCCGTTAACTTACGCCCCCTGGAGTCTGACCCTGGCGTCTGCCTCCTCAGGCACGGGCTGCATCGGTTCTTCTCCTGTCGTGGCATTGCCCTCGCAGTGGAGACCTTCTGGAAGATGGGGCACAGAGAGATCACCGTCTTCGTCCCACAGTGGAGGCAGAAGAAAGACCCCAACATCACAGGTAAAGTATAGGAGCACCTGCGGGGGGGGAAGGGGGGTGTTTATAATGCATAACAAGAGCATCTGGATGGAGGGTGTTCTCCTGTCTCACCACAGAGCAGCACTTTCTCAGTCAGCTGGAGGATCTGAGGCTGCTGTCCTTCACACCCTCCAGGGAGGTTGGCGGACAGAGGATCTCCTCCCATGATGACCGGTACGTCCTGCTGCTCTCGCACCGCCTGAGCCCTGTGGCCTCTCTCCCCTGTGCTCTCGCTCAGCCTCACGTCCTCATCCACTTTCCAGGTTCCTGCTCCACCTTGCTGAGAAGACGGGAGGAGTCATCGTCACCAATGACAACATGCGGGACTTCGTGGACACGTCGGAAGCGTGGAGAAAAATAGTTCAGGAGAGGTGAGAGGCGACAGTTGGCGACGCCATACTTCACATGTGACCTCATGACCCTACAGTGGCAAGTTCAGATCACAGGATGGGGCCTGCAGTTGTACCCTTGAGTGGAGTTATTACCCCGTGTCGCTCCTCTTTAATGTCTGAGTAATAATGACTTAAATAGTCCAAGGTAAAAGAAAAGCGGAGAAACAAAATGACAGTTGAAAAGGGGAGAGGTCATGCGCACCATCGCCCCCTAGGGGCCTGTGTGTGACGTGTGTGCCCTGCCTCCGCAGGCTGCTGCAGTTCACCTTTGTAGAAGATCACTTCATGCTCCCAGACGACCCGCTGGGAAAACACGGCCCGCGGCTCGAGGACTTCCTGCGCAAGGATTTCAGGTGTGTGTTTGTGTGTATGGGAGCCATGTGGCGTTTTGGGTGTGTGGTGTGTCTCCCTGGGGGGGGGGGGACTAGGAGGAGCAGGGCAGGTCCCCCATGGAATTCTACCCAGGTTATGAGTCTGTGTTTTTAACCACTGCAATACCTGCTGCCTGCTTTTATATGAACGTGCAGTGTGGGGCTACAGACGGAACCTCAGCACTCACCTGTCCTTGTCTATCTGTCTAGTTATACCCCAGTCACGGTTTCAGCATGGCCAGACCTGCGGGCAACCCCCCCAGTGTATACAAAGTGCAGCTCTCGTCCCTCCTTCAGCGCCCAGATGAGACCGGCATCCCAGTGGCCTCACACCGGCCCCCCCGGGTGGTGCCCGCCGCGGCCCTCGCCCTCGCCCCCGCCCCCACGCTCACCCGCCGAGACCACGGAGCTGAAGAGGAAGCTCTACGACATCTTCCCAGATCAGAAGCAGCGTATCGACCGCATCCTGGTCGACAATCCCTACATGCGGGACCTGAATGCGCTGTCAGGCCTTCTGCTGGGCTGACTGCACCCAGTCAGCTGGCAGGGAATTGTGGGAAATGGCCTCACCTAATAAAGACCGCATGCGGCCCATCCCATCCCATCCCATCCCATCCCATCCCATCCCAATCCCATCCCAATCCCAATCCCATCCCAATCCCATCCCATCCCATCCCATCCCATCCCATCCCATCCCAATCCCATCCCATCCCATCCTCCTGCGGGACACTTCTCAGTCTGCCCCCACCATCGCCAGCTTTCCCGGGACTGCACCCTCCTTCGCGTTCGTCTCCCCCAGGACCGGCTTTGGTGGCCGTTCATCTTCCATGCAGGCTGCCTCGCGGCCAGGTTGCAGAGGAGTTCTCCGTATGTTGTGTCCATGTTCTGAGCTGAGTTGGTAGTCAGGATCTGATCATTGAAACGTTTCAATTGCTAAGTATTAAGGATGGAAAAAAAGTTTCCTTGACCACTGTCGCATTTATTTTTAAACTCTCCATTCTAAATTAGGAAAAGATACTGTACCAAATTTGAAGTGATTCTTACCTGTGTTTTCAACAGGAGTGGAGTTATTTCATTTCTTAATGTATTTGAAATAATTGTTATGAAATCACTACAGTCAGGTTAACATTTGTACATAGAATGCATTTTCCATCTTTGTGGAGATATATATAAAAAATGTAGTGTTGTGAAAAATCGACATTGCGTTTAAGAGCACGTGTGGAGCGAGATGGAGGCTGCCCCCTGGAAGGTTTGAGCCCCCCCCCCCCCTTTTCTGTCTGACTGATGAACCTTCCCCTGGAAGTGGGCCGGGCCAGTGACACCAGGGAATGCCAGACTCCAATCCCGGTTTGGCTCAGTGCTCCCAGGAACGCCCACAATGAAAGGCTCTGCCAGGATTCTGATGCCAGGACGTTACGCTGCGATGTCGCTCTTCCCATTTAGAAGTTGTTTACCACTGAGCGGCTTTGCAGCCTGAGACAGCTGTTCACCCCTCATGTGAGAAACTTCAGTACATAATTATCTAAAAAGAGTGACAATTTGCCAGTGAAACAGATAAAAAGGGGATGTATTTAATGCCTTTAAAACTTTTTCTCCAGTTAGCATAATGCTCAGCGGCCACAAGCACTGTTCTGTTGAGTCCCCACCCTATTTTGTTACCAGCACAACAACTATCAAGTCAGTAGGCCCAGGGTTTAGCCTCTGAACCATTCTTCTTCTACAGTTCTACAGTTCCATTAAGTTACCACCAGAGGGAGATGTGCACCACAAAGTGAGCCTTACAGTCCTGTTGATATTGCTGTTCTGAGATTTGACTTGCCTGATGAGACAAACACAGAAATCGTCGTCGTATTGCTGTGACTGATTACTTTGGGACAAGGGTTACGCCTGTGTTTAGCTGTAACATACTGCTGTTTCTGAACATTAATGGAAGTTTATTTTGTTTTTTAAAGATGCGGGTAGAAAGATGACGAAAGTAAAATTACACTCTCTGTTATTCTATTCTGTTTATCTGTATTTAAAGACATCAAGACTAGTTTCTTGGCTAGTGTTCTGTTTAATTTTATAACAATGGAAGGATTTACGTTGTCAACAGTGCAAATAAGACGAGGTTGAATATACCATAGCGATTTGGCAAGATGAAGTCAAAGTGGTTTTGTATGGAGTTATTAAAAGATATGTTTTTAAATCTTGAAACTTTTAAGCTTGTTTTTGTGGAGATAAGTCCCCTTGTTGGCCTGAGGTGTAGGATGTATGTTAGCTAAGTGGGGGGTGTAAAATTTGCATGGTAGGACCCATAAAAACTAAAAAGCGGAAGAAACTAACATATGAAAAAATGCTAATCAAGATGTTTTTACAATTAAGTATCAACTGTCATTATAATCTATGGAATATTTGGTGTCCGTGTGCTCTTAATCGTGGAGAGCAAACTGGGCATGCTATTGGAAGAAACCGAAGATCTTTGATGACATTGCAGTGATTGCCTACAGCAGGGATGGGCAATTTTTTCCAGAGAGGGCTGTTGGGTATAAAAGATTGCCCACCTCTGGCCTATAGGTTTGTTCCACTGAAGATAAACCAGACTCTCATCTGTTTGCTCAGGTGCTTCCTCTGTTGTCCTACCTAGGGACCTGTAGCATTCATCCTGCCGTTCATGCTGTTTGTCAGGCACAGATCACCTCTTGCTAGGTGGTTGGTCCCGCAGTCAGTTGCTCTGTCCGATTTTTTTTTTATTTTTCTAGTAGATCTCAATGATGTTGAACTAAGCCTAAATAAGCGAAAACTGAGAGTAGCTGCGTCATTGGCTGATAACTCAGTTTGTCATTATTTAAACTTCTGAGGGAATTTCCAAGGAAGTAGTTCATTCATGTCTGTTACGGCTGGTGTTTTTTTGTTAAAAATTATACGCCACAGCAGGAATGGATAGCTCTAGTCCCGTAACAACAGAGACAAGATTATCACACTCTAGCTATTAATGTAATTACCTGTTGTATAATTACCTGAATTTCATAAGGAGACCATAATGTAGTATCTTCCTGGTGGATATTGCTTCCAAATGAAAAAAGATTTTTTTTAAAATCTGGGGCAATATGCATTTAACTCATAAACTGAATTACAACGTGTCCAATTTTGTTCAGTTTCATATTTTTGATCTTTCAACTCTAATCCATAAAACAATTTTCTTTTCAGTAATCTGTTGCTATTCCTTAATATTTACCATAAATTTCCTCCTCGCTTGGCCTCTCACTCCCTAATACCACACATAAACGTACCGGTCATAACATTCCCTTCCAGACCCATACTTTCTGACTCATCCAGGCAAGCACAGCCAATAATTAGCAATAATTAGCCAGCTGAACCAGCTTGGGGTCACTGCCAAATGTGAGTGGGCACAGGGTGGGGAAGCCTTGCCAGCTGTGTGTTTGCTCATTGCCAGCACAGGATAGGAGTCTGTCCCATGCAGAGGCAGTAGGACCCAGTGGCGCCGCCTTAATGCGGAGCAGAGCCCTGATGTGGAAGCAGCAGCAGCCCCTGGCAGTCATTCCACCAATCAGGATTCTTCATGCTGCTGTGTTGCTTGTTAATCTGATTTATTTATTTTGAATGAATAAATCCCATGAATGGGGGCATGTGAAACTGCATTTCCAATCACACTTCAAATAACCAGGCAAATTGGCATTGTTTTGTTTTGTTTTGTTTGTTTGTTTTAATATATATACCTTGACAAGGCTGGCATTTATCCACTGTTGTAGAATAGAAGCTGAAACAAGGCTGAACCAGGCTGGGTTTATTTGTGTTTCTATCACATGACCAGGTCATTAATCATATTTTGGCTGAAGGGCTGGTTACAATGGAGAACTTGTAACAGATCAGACTTCTTCTGTCCCACACATTCTCAGTTTTCTAGTTATCAGACAGCAAAATATCTTATCGTCCACAGGGAAGTGCTCAAGTGCTCTCAGTGTCCTAAGAGAGGCCTCACTTTCAACACAAATTCCACCTTCCACCACCTCCATGTATGTAGATAACCAGGCTTGTAATGTCCTTGTTGACCTCCGCCTATTCCGTCACAGAATTACCGAGTCACAGAGTCACACTCTTCCTTTAAGCCTGGGCCTTACTTCCCTCTGAGTCCAAAATGCCTGTGGCGATTATTCTGAGCACATTAATTATTTAGAGCATTAAACTGAAAGAAAACACTCACAAGCATCTGAGCTTCACATTATGGATTCAGTTCATTTGCACGATAAACAGGTTGCTCTAAATTGTTTTGAATTGTGATTTAAAGAAGAAAAAAAACATTGCAGACTGTGTTGTCAAAATGTTTCAGGAGCCATGAGATTTGCCAGCATCACAGCCACAAAACTGGGATAGTTGAACAAATCACTATGAAGTGTGGAAATTAAACATATAGATCAATTCACACAGAGGCTAACTGTGGGAGGCACAGACTCAAGTAAACAGGGTGGGACCAGGCCTGGATGAACACTCCAAGGTTCGTCGGGTGAACTGCATGATGTAATCCCCATCATGGGGTTTTTAGCTCCCTCTGCTGTCAAAAATTCATACAATGGCTTGAATGACCTTGGTTATCTAATGATTCTTCTATTTGCCATTTGATCCAGAAGTGGTACACAGGAATTCTTTGGCTTGTACTTGTCCCATCCTGCTTTCTATCTATTTTAGCCTTGGGATTCAACCCAATATCCTGGCCAGGGGCATACAACACCCTAACACTGTGATTTATCACACTAAGTGATTTCAGAAAGTGCTTTGTGCACTACATACTGGGTTTGCAGTATGTATTTAATTATTTCTAAAACAGTTACTGGCACATACGTATACAAGGAGACTAGGTAAATCATGTGCATTTATATGCTGTATTGAAAGCCCTGAAAACCGTATGCAGATGTTAGATGATGGTTACACCACAGTGCAGTGATAACCTACTTCTCTTTATCATCTATTTCTTAACTGTTTATACTCATCTGCTACCTACTCAGACTGTGAAGTGTGCAGCTGCATTTCTCCGTAAGGAGCTTTTGCTCTCTAGACTTACACTTGTGCCTCTGGCCTAAACCGCAGTCTAAGAATGTATGAACTCAGCCTTTTTACGACCAGCTGTGACTTAATTTCCTGTAACAGGCTAGTCAGACGAAATCTGTTTTGCACTAATGTGATTGGCTGTGAAGAAACACATAATAAAGCATATAAGACGTGATCTTGGGGCTGCATGGTGGTGCAGTGCTTAGCAGTGTTACCTCACACCTCTGGGACCAGGGTTCGAGTCTCCACCATGGCTCAATGTGGGTGGACTTTTAATGTTCTTCCCGTGTCATCGTGGGGTTTCCTCTGGGTACTCCAGTTTCCCCCCCCACAGTCCAAAAACATGCCGAGGTTAATTGGAGTTACCAAATTGCCTGAAGGGGTGCATGTGCCCTGCGATGAGTTGGCCCCCCATCCTGGGTTGTTCCCTGCCTTGTGCCCATAGCCTCCAGGATGGGCTCCGGACCCCCCCGTGACCCTGAATAGGACAAGTGGTTACAGAAAATGGATGGATGAGATTTTCGTCTCATGAGACAAATATCCTCCAAATCCGATGCAATCCGAACATAAGTAATCAATTTATGACATCACCAGTGATATATAAGTGAAATCCTAGACAAAGACAGAGGCCCAATCTGAAAAATTTGCTTTGTTGAATGTTCGGTTTGCCAGAAGCATGACAGCCAACACCTGGCTTGGGACATGCGGCACCAGACATGAATCAGGATGAGGCTTTGGTGTGAACTGATGCTTGAGGCGTTTTCACCATGTTTAGCTTCACTTGTGTGAAATTCAATAACTCAGACATTCCATAGCCCCAGGAGAATATGTCATTATCTTCTCACATTTTAATTACTTTTTTTGTAAGCACCCAGGACAAAATGAAACATAAATGTAAAAAAGGGATCTTGACACAACCATACATCCATTCCTTTGCAGATCAAAAAGGCTTAACATTAGAAAGTGGGAATGCAGATAGTAAATGGAATGTTTAAAAACAAATTAGCTCTTGGTTCATGAATGGGACACTTCAAGTCCCTTGTCAATCTTGTGCTGTTAATGTATCATAAGGGGTTGTGAACAAGTATATTGTGTGACTGCTGGATTGTCGTTTTGCAGTCAGGACTGCGTGAATTCAATGAGGTATCGAGTTAGTTTTCAGGGATCTGAAACCATTCTATCATAGGGAATCCTACCCTACAGGTCACTTTGATGGCGACAGAACTACTACCATGGGCACCTCTCCATACCGTAGTCCATGGCCATCTTAAGTAACATGCCACCTTGCACACTATGTCCGCTGTGTAACCATACCCACATACTCGAATAGACAAAGAGGCTCTGGTAGTTCACGTTGTCAGGATCCATGGATAGGTCATGGCGCCTCGTGGTTTTCAGTGTGTTAATAATTAACTAAGTTTCAAATAGATATTCCGAGAATGGAAAATGAAGAATTTGTAAGGCGGCATATTGAATCCAGGCATTTCTCAGATCAGTCAGTTTAACAGAATTTGCAGCAGTTTACAATTGAGCAACGTGTACGATTGCAGCAGAACAGGACGATCATTTCACTATCCTGCAGTTCATACTGGTTGTCCTGATGAGGGTCACAGCACGTATACATGCATTTTTTCATTTAATTTCAGTAGCACTGCTAAAGAATATACCCTCGCTTGGCAGCTCGTGCCACAGGGGTTGAGTTAGAAAAGGTGCCGGTGTCTTCGAATGTCCTGCGGCGCGCGCCCCCTCACACGGAAAAGACTCTCGACGGCCGTGCGCGTGAGACCGAGAGTGACGGCGGCGGCGGCGTCTGAGGGGTGAATGCCGAAACCGAAATACGACACGAGCGAAGGGTGAAGTGTAATCCTCACCGGTACGAACACAAACACGGTTTTCGAGGTAAGCCTGGCCCTCTTGTTTGTGTATTTTGTCTAGTCGACGTGTCCGAAAAACACGAGACAGCGTTGCGTTTCCACCGAGAACAAGCGGGCTACATTGCTAGCCGCTCTGCTAAATGCCTGCTTGTGTATGGCTGAACAGCTAAAGTCCGACTCTGTAGCTATAATTCATTACAGTGGTAAGTAAAAAAAATTAACCCACCCATAGGTCAGAATTAAAGATTCGTTTTGTACTGTATCGGTAACTCTCAG